CCGGGCCCCGGGGACCCCTGCACGAACATCAGCGCTCTCCGCTCTGGCCTCACCGCGGCGCCCGCGCCCGCCCGCGCCCCGGCCTCCGCGGCGCATTTCGCAGAGGGAGAGGGGAGGCCACGGACCGAGCGGCCGCCCCAGCCCCGGACGCAGCAGCCCTCCTGGACTGGAGCAACTTGGTCTCACGTCTCCCTCCCCTCCAGGTCTGAGCGCCCCGACTTTCAGGGCGCGATCTCGAGGTGTCTGAAAGTCTAGTCGGCGTCCGCGGAGGTCGGCCCGTCCCTAGGAGGCGTTCCGCCCGGCCCCGCCGCCGGCTTTGTCCCCACGCTCCCGCCCAGCGAAGGGCCCCAAGGAGAACGAGGGGTTGGGGGCGCTTCCGCCGCGGCCTCCCGGCGGGCGAGGCCCAGAGGAAGGACTGCGGGGGCCCTACATTCGGGCGGCCGCTTCGGGAACCCCGAGCTCCCGCAGACGGAGCCGGCGAACAAACCTCCTGCCTGTCGGCTTCGGGCGTCGGGGCGCCCCCAGAGGCCCCCGGGAGGCCCCGGCGGAGCCTCTCCTGAAGGGCGGGCCGGCCTTCGGAGTCCCCGAGAGCCCCCCTGGAGCGACCACCCCGAAAAGCAGCACCCCGACGGCTCGGGGGCGGTGCTCCGGCGCGCGTCTGCAGCCGCGAGGGGCACCCCCCGCCGGCGCCCGTTCCACTCGGGCTCACCCACCGTGCACCAGTCTCCGCATGTCTTGGTAAGNCTCTGCGCCCCCTCCAGTCGCGGCGGCGGTGAGGGCGGCGCCTCCTGTCCCCCGCCCGGAGGTCGGAGGGCCTAAGAATGGCAGTCCCCGCGAGGTCCACCCCGGCCCGGCCCTTTCTCCCCCCGCGCCCGTGGCTTCCCGCCCCCTTCTCCGCCTCTAGTCCTCCTGCCCTTAGCTCCCCGCCCCTCCCCCGTCCCGCTGCGGGGGTCCTGTGCCTCGCCTCCGGCCGCCGACTGGGCCCGCCGGGCAGAGGCCTGTCCTGTCCGCTCCGTTAGCGAATGAAGAGCCCTTACCGCGTGCTCCTGGGCGCCGTCCCCGAGCTCGGTGAGGCCCGCAGCGCCGCCGACGCTGAAGCAGCCCCTTCCCTCTCCGCCCTTACTCACCCAGGTGGCTCTTTCTACCTCGGAGCAGGGCGACGGGGCTCCCCTTCTAGGGCGGTGGGCCGCGAGGCAGGGCGCCTGCCAGGCTCTGACCTCAGCAGCTATCTGCTCCGACCTGCCCCGCTCCTGGCTCCCCCGATCAGGCCCTCTTGAGATGCCTTCGTCTCTTCTAGCAACGCCACTAGACTTTCCAACGAAATTCGTCTTTCCTGCTTGGAACCTCTCTCCACCCTTGTTTCTTCTATCCAGGCGCGTTTTCTGAGTCCGCACGTGTTCATAATTCTGAGTCACGAGGAGACTTAACCAGCCCTGATGGGCCTGTTAGTGGGGAGCTGGCCGCCTGGACGCTTTGTTTCCTCAGGGTGTGATACATCTGAATATCCACCGCACCTTGGCTGAAGACCTACAGTGTGCCAGACCCTGGGCCAGGTGCAGGATGGAGGCTCAAGGGTCCACCCGTGGGTGAATGGCTGTGCCTACCTGAGGGACTCCAGTGAGATAGGTGGGCACTGGGGAACTAGGCACATGTAAATTACGTCGGGGCAGGAGATGGGCATGCTGTGGGTCTGGCCCCCAGAGTCACCAAGAGATGGGAGTGAGCACTAAGTGGGTGTGAGCAGTGCATGTGTTGGCCCCAGAAGGCAGGTTATCCAGGCAGCATCTCCGGCCACAGACGCTACCACCCTCTCCCTGCCTGTTTTTGTAGATTTTGCCTACACATCACCAAACTCTCCTACTGGTTCTTAGTTTTCATTTGGTTTTCTTAGATTGTCTAATAGTTGTCTCCCTTCTGAAACGAATGAGGTGACAGCGCTCAGGTCAGATCTCTGCTTCTTCATGGCTTAATCTCCACGTCTCAGTTCTTCTAGAAGAGGTGATGGTGAAAATAGAGGCGAGGTCCAGTAGGCTACGGAGTACATGTAAAGAGCTAGGGTTCAAGAAACCATCATCATCATCATATTATAGCTCATCTGAATTGGTTATTATACTCCAGGCATTGTGCTCTAGTTGTATCATCTCTCTAAATCCTAACAGCATCAGAGGAAGGTCCCCATTTTGTGTAGCGCATTGAGGCACAGACTAAATGAGGGAGTGTGCGCGGAGGGAGGTGGTTTAGCAAAGCCCGTGCTCTTGAACCTTTCTGCTCTTCTGTGATTGTGAATGAGATGATACATAAAAAGCACGTACAAGTCCCTGCATGATGGGAAGTGCCCCACACAGGAAAGCTTTTATTAATTTCAGGGTTGTTTGTCTCAAGATGCTTACCTAGATTTTTGTTGTGATAAAGTTCAGCTTTCAACGAGGCCTATCAAAGTCTGTTATTTTTAGAAGTCTAGACACTCACTGTTCACCCCGAAATAAATGCAAGGCGTTGCGTAACTGCAATTGATATCATGGTGCAGTACACTTTCAGTCCATCAGAGAGGCTCATCCCTTCTATCAGGACTTAAAAAAGATGGCGGTGGCAGAGCCGCGGGGACGGCAGCTACCCACCAGCACTACCCTCCCTCGGGAGGCCCCGGGCCCCGGCCCGGCCGACGCCACGTGGGAGNCAGTCCATCAGAGAGGCTCATCCCTTCTATCAGGACTTAAAAGAAAAAAGATGGCGGTGGCAGAGCCGCGGGGACGGCAGCTACCCACCAGCACTACCCTCCCTCGGGAGGCCCCGGGCCCCGGCCCGGCCGACGCCACGTGGGAGGTACCGCCCCCTTGCGCCGCTCCGCCCCCGGAGCCCCGGACTCCCGCGCGAGCTCCCTCCAGCCGGGCTCGGCCTCTCGGAGCACGCGCACTCCGCCGCATTCTACTGGCGAATCCCCGCGCCTTGCAGTGCTCTGATTGGTGGAGACGTTCTAGGCCCGGAGCCCTGCGCTCGGCTGCCGAAGATCTACCCGCCTGGAGTTGAGGCTGGGCGGCGATCGCTCAGCGAACCCGGCCGCGGCCCTCGGCAAGGACAGGCGGGGCGGCCTCGGCTGCACCCGGCGCTTCATTCCAGGCGCTGAAGCAGCTCCCGTCGGTGCTGGTTCCGCCGTACCCCGCCCCCGCGACCTTGGTTGAGCATGTTTTCCAGGGCCCAGGTGAGGCGGCTTCTGCAGCGGGTGCCCGGAAAGCAGCGACTTGGCGTCTACAGGTTTCTGCCCTTCTTTTTTCTCCTGGGAGGAACGATGGAGTGGATCATGATTAAAGTGCGCGTGGGCCAGGAGACCTTCTGTAAGTGGGGGTGCAGCAGCCTCCGTTTCATTTCAGGAAGTCAGGAGGTGGCATAGGTCCTATTTTCCTGGGAGATACTCAGTCCTAGGTTGCAGACTGCACATTCCGCTCAGCGCTGAACTGCTTTTACCCGGATCAGAAGGGCACGTGCTGTTCCCTTCACTGGGCTCTCGAGACCCGCCCAGGCTCACCTATAAGCGGGGCAGCAAAGGCACTTTGACGTCCAACCTTGAGACCTTTTGCCCGCACGTTGAGGGGAGGGCACGTGACTACTCAGGACACCCTCCTCTCAAGCCTGCCAGTGACATTGTTTGGGCCTAAAGAACAGACTTCCTCACAGCACGGCAGAAGGGGGTAGGATCCTTAGGATTCATGGAAACTCCTGTTAACTAGCCAGTCCTCTCTCTGGACTCTTCAGCCCAAACCCTGCAGGGAGCTGGTCTGCAGAGTCGTTGGCACCAGGGCCTGGCCCTGTGAACGGAAAGCCTGACATGCTTTGCTGAGAGCACTAGCTCTGGACAGGCTAGTTCGTCTTCTGGGAAGACCTCCCCAACCCCCATACCCTTTCTGCGTTGTCCCTCCAGAAACATTGTATCACTTGTGAATTGCCAGCCCTTATTTAAAAAGAATTGTTACCTTAGCTCTTTCTAAAGATACTTAGTCCGTCTGTTCATGCATTCACCAGTATTTAATGAGCACTGATGAGGGGATATAATGAACAAGGCACAGGGTCTCCCGCCCCAGAAGAGCTCTAATAGGAGAGACAGATAGTAGTTAAGTGCGCTCATTGCTCTGAAGAGAAAGTGGGGGGAACATGGGAGTCTTGGCTGAGGCATTTCAGTTGGACTAGATGGTGCAGGGAAGGCTTGCAGGAGTTACCACGTCAGGTAGGCCCTGAAGATTGAGTGGGTGTCAGTCAGATGAGGGGAACGTTTTTGGAGTTGAAAGTGCCGCATGCCCCGCATGCCGGTGCTAGGAGCAGACGGTGCTAGGAGCAGACGGTGCTAGGTGCTAGGAGCAGACGGTGCTAGGAGCAAACGTGGGGCATTGCTGTGAAAGTGCTGAGACACAAGCGCGAGCAGAGGGAGGAAGTGATTAGAAAGGTGCCTGGGCAGGGCCAAAAAGGGATTGGAGAACGAAGGATGTATCCCAGAGAATTGAAGGCGTGTGTGTTTTTTCCCCACCGGAGTGAGAATATTTTTTTCACTAATTTTTTAGACAGTGGAGGAGGGAGGGGTGAAGAGAAACATTGATTGGCTGCCTCTCTCACGCATCCCGACGGGGGGTAGGGGGGAGGGGCGGAGATAGGGATTGAACCTGCAACCTGGGCACGGGCCTTTGACTGGGAATTGAACCCCAGACCTTCCCATGTGCAGGCCGATGCGCCTACCACTGAGCCACGTGGGCCAGGGCAGATGGGTTTTAAGTGGCAGCGGATTAACACATGTGGAGAATGGCTTCGTGTGGAGAGGGACTGGCAGGCACACTTAGGCTGTGTGTTTGCTCAGGTTTGAGCTGGTGGCCTGGTCTAGGGTGGGGACAAAAGGGATGCCAAGAAGTGGGTGGAGTTGAGAGACACCTAAGAGGTAGTCTTGACAGGGCTTGGTGATTGAGTGGACTCAGGAGATGCGGAGCGGAGGCTCCTGGTAGGACAGCTGGGGCAGAGGGAACACAGGTAGGACAGTCCGCCTCCATTTGAACGTGAAGTGGAGGTGGTTGTATAGACCTGAAGCATAGAAGGCAGATCTGGGCCACAGATTTTGGGTTTGTGGGTCATTCACAAGCGGATTGTGGTGAAAGCCAGAGTCAAACCCCAACATTTTAAGCGTGACTGAGAGTGGCTAGAGAGGCAAGCAGGGAAACCAGGAGATACTTGAAGGTATGCTAATCAGATCTGGAAAGAGGGTGGAGAGAGGCTGGAGATACCTGGCCCTTGAGAAGGTGGCAGAGGGTGGGATCAGAGCGGGGCGGCAGGAGTAGCCCTTGGAAGTTAGCTATTAGAGTTCTTTGCTGATTTTTCTCTGGGAGAAAGAGTTCATGGCCATTTGGGGGTGGCTGGTCATGGGTTAGGGTCATGGCTGAGGAAATGGTTGTCAGGCACCACAGTGGACCCAGTCAGATGCATCAGTTGGCCCCACAGTGCAAAGCAAACAGTGAGGCATGGAGAAGGAAGTTGGATTCATCTGTAGTTGGGCCTCTGAAGGTGTGTCAAGAGGTGGATATCTGATGAGAGGGAATTTCAGCTGGTTTGGGCAGGAAGAGAGGAGGGGGTGCTGAGGGGGTACTCAGGGGCCAGCGGCCTGGGGAAGAAGTTGGTGAGGGTCCAAGGACAGAAAGGTTAGAAAGGTAGTAGAGGTGGTGGCCTGAGCAGAATGAATGCATCACTTCACAGGAGCACCACCGGGTGGCAGTTGTGTGAGGCAGGGAGGTGAAGGCGGCTAGTGCTTTATCCCTGTGTGTGTGTGTGTGT